TAGTAGTTTTTCAGACAATTTTATCGAAGACAGGGCAAATCAACGCGAAATTTTAGGGTGGCTTAATAGCTATGGCCAGCACTGTACTTGTATACTGATGCATCGGAATTATAAACAAACATTCATCGAGGTGTGAATTTGCTGATAAGCGACTTTATGTGAATATGCTGTTTCTGTGATCATATTCCTGGCGGCACAGAAACGATACGAACGTTTAGTTTGTATACTCCGGCCTCATTAAGAATGCGAGGGACCTGGATAGTCCTCGCTGTTACTGTGACGTTCCTATCGTGCGTGATCATCTGCAGCTCACGTTGCTAGTTTTGCACGCTCTCCTCAAACTCTCTTTGGCGAATCCGTAACCGGTCCATTTCGTCAGGCAGTGGACAGTCCCGGCGTAATGATCGTAGGCAGTACTCCGGCCAACATCTTTGCAATAGGAACATGATGTTGGTTTCGGGCATGCGTTCAGACGGCGCTCCAGACAGCGATGGCAGCTTTCTTCATTGTCCAAGATGGCTGCGCGGTCTGTGATTGGTGGTTACTCCTGGTGGTTTCTTCTTCCACGTCATGCAATTCTTCTTTCTCATCATGCGTGAGCGTCCCGTATTCCCTGCGATAGTTTTGAACTATCCTACCCACGTCGTTCTTCATATAGCTGTGAGAGACGGCTTGGCAATGGGTAGCCTCGGTCTGCGGGTCTCGTGGGCTTCATGGTTACATGTTGTCCAAGCGCATCCAGATACATCAAGATCGATTTCCTGTGAATCTCCGACAGCCCTAGGATCTCGTACCACTCATGCCAGATAGAACTGGTCCATCCATGACTCAACTCTCTCATCTCGCCTAGATGCTTGGCTCTCATGTCCTTCAGCTTCAGCATATGTTGATCGACTTCTTGATCGTGTACATCATTTCCCAGCGATTTCCTTTCAACTCTATGTAATTTTCGCTTGCGTTAGACGATCTTCGAATTCGTAACATTTGTCACCGAATTCTCTGATCCTCTGCTGTACCTGGGCTACAGTGGGTCTCGCCGGTGATTGTTGGACGATGGTTACATTTCTCTCTATCTCCTCTCGGAGTTTTCGTTCCAGTTCTGTGTAGAAGGCTGCCATTTCCTGTGAAAGGGATACATTAGAGGCCGATTACCCTGCATTCAATTTTTTTTCTGTGACCCTTTGCGTCGAGAATCGCAACCTGGAAAGGTTGCGATTCTCGACGCCAATGGTGATGATCTATCCTTTCCTTGTCTCTATGAGCGGGGAGTGATT